CTATTCTATTGGGCAGAATGTGCTGAAGAATCTACACCCAACATTAACTAAAATAAATTAAGTTCATTTTTCTCTTTGTTTTCAAGGCAATGCTGCTGCTATTTCCCTGAACCAAAACAAAGGCGGGGTGTATTTAAAGGTAATTTATTCAAAAGGCAATCTAAATTAATCTTAAAATAAACCGATTTAGGTACTCAAAGCTGCGCGTGGCATATTAATGACGAATCTCGACTTTCAACGTGAAATCCAACTCCCACCTCAATAGAAGGCTTAAGCCCTTTCAGACTTTATGTGATGTTAAGCAGTCCAAGACTTAGTCGTTAACACAAATAAATCAGTAGTAATTAGCGAATAACTTGTTTTAGTTCATAATGAATAATTCTCAGATCCATAATATCTGAAGTTAGGTTAGGTACGGTTATTTAAAATGTGAAAAAAGTGTAAGAGAGAGAGAAATAATTATTTATTGTAATGGTTTTTATTTCTATTATGTATATAATTAGCTTAAAAAGTATAATATACGAAAAATTGCCAAATTTTGACTGATACTGTGACAGGTCACGTGTCTATTTGTAAAAGAAGACGCACTTCACCTACTGAGATCACTGGAAAACGAGAACAATGTCGGAATGTCTTGGCCCATGATAAATTGGAAGTGAGTTATCTCTTGCGATGTTCTTAATTCCTCTTTGTTAAAATTTATATACAGACGTATTAATTGTTGATTTCGAATTATTCCAATGTAATACAACAGATAAATAAATATTTGCTACATAGTAACGAATTTGTACTGTTAAGTTTCCATTCAAATCCACTACATGCAACAAGTGTCGTCGGCGACTTTGGTGGGTAAACACGGACGTTCCTGACTCAACAGCTGCCGAAGAACAACTTCAGATGGTAATGGAGTCCAAAACCAGCCTGTTCACGGAATGCCAGACCTCCATCGTACTCCCGGAGGATATCCGGATTAAAATGTCCTATCTGAGTTGTACTCGGTTTCAGTGATCGACCTCCGAATGGATCTCTGCGTGGTCTAAAACATCATGCGAGAATGGTCGAAACGTCACTCGATCCATATGAAAAATATTCACCGATTGATGCAATTCAGTTCAGTCCGACTGGTTTAATAAACGCGTAATTTCGCTGTGACTGCGTTTCCCGATTCTCCTGTGGCAAACAAGTCGACAATATCTCGACTGGTGAAGCATTTCCTTGACACGGGAAGCGTGTAGGACAGAAAGAGTTCCGGTCGCCCTTTGGTGTTACATGGCAATAGTTTAGACTTTATCCGTCAAAGTTGATAGTGCTCTCCTCCGGACTCAAGAAAGCTCGTGAGGAAAAACGGTTTCAGTACTGCAGATGCTTTATACACTTCGTTCGTAGGAGTACAGACATTTCAGAGAAAGTTCTCTCTGTAGGATTTGATGTTTTCATGGCGGTGAGTCCGAAGATGGCTGTCTCCTGGGTTGTAGCGCCGTGTAGTCTGGCAGAAGTTTACCGACGAGATCCTTGCTGTCTCCATCATCAGGGCGATGAGTAAGCCAGGGGACAGTCATCTTCAAAATGTTCTTTCGTGATGAAGTGTGGTTCCACCTAACTGGATACCGCATTTATCCTGAACTCTGCGCAGTGGCGCCACTGTGGCCTCTGGGAGTTAATGAGTAAAAACGACAGACATGTTTCGGTCGATTTCGATAATCGATCACGAGTCCTTGTGCTTCTACGAAGCCAGCTGTTTTCTGGTCACGTGCTACTTCCTAGCCAAGATGTGACCTTCGACATTTACTAATGGCCGGAGAATTGCCTATGTGTGGGGGAGAATGCAATTATTTGTGTGGAGAGACCAAAATTATTTCCCGAATTTCACCGAAACTGAAGTCCCACATTTCATGATTCATGTTCAGGCAATCTCGTGTTGTTACATGCGTGTTCACACACGGACGGGCGGACAAAGTGTGCTTCACAGGAGTGGAAACGCGACTAGAAAGGATAAATACCGCAGGGAAATGGTGTAGAGTACTTTACGCGACCCAAAGGCAATCTTTTATGGGTCCACGAAAGCTGAAAATGTCTTTACCAGCTGCGAACTTCCCAACTTTTGACATAAGGTACGTTCCGCGCAGATAGTCATCTAGCTAGCTGTCTGACCGGTTAGTCCGTCATTAATCTGTGACAGAAATTATGATAATTATGCCTGGTGATTTATCGGCCTGTTGAATGTTTAAATTCCTGCGATAACTCAGAACGTCGCACAATCTGGAGAGAGATTGTTCATAAACAAATTATCGGTTACAGAAGTCGCGCTGTTACGAGTAATGAATGAAATCACGCCATTCTCATGACGCACTTGCGACATCTGCTCTGAAAGGTTATCAGTGTATACATTATGGTTCCGTTACGAAAGACCATCGCTTGAGCGGCTTTGGATCTGAAAGAATCATCTCAACAGTTCTACTGTAAACAAAACAAGGGTCAAAGCTGTGTTCTCCAGACTGGATGTCCCCCCCAAATGCGTTCTCTGCAGTTTCTGCAAATCTGATTGATGAGAACTTCTTCACTGCCGATACAAAATCTGCCTATCACTCACACTGCAATGTTACCGACTTAAATTACTCACAGCATTCGTCTTTGAACCTAGGGTCATTTAACTTGAACATTTGCCTTCATTTGCCTCTCGATATCAAAGTACGACCCGTACGACGTAGTACGCCGAACGAATATGAGATAGGCCTCCGCGCTCAGGGTCTCTTCAATGAAACCTGCTTCAGTTATCAACTTAAATAATTGATTTTGTTCCGGAGGCTTGTTCGCCAGAACTTCTTCCCATGCTGTGACTACGCGGTTTCTCATACTAAATAAACTACGCAGGGCATCATCGCTAATGTGATGCTCATTTCGTTTTTGCACTGATGCGATCCTGGCTCACTGTTGCGTCTAAGGGCGGTATCGCACTAGGATGCCAACGGGAGGCCATGGCGCAGCTGCCAGCATCTCGGCCAAACTTAATGCATTAATTTAGTAGTCATATATCGCACGTGGCATCCGTCTGGCATCGCTGCCAACCAAGATGCCAAGTCCAAATGCTACTGGCATCGCTGCCAAGGCCAAATCAACATCACATGACAGTCTGGCCAGTCCATTGACGTCCGTGCTTGAATGTGATTGTGTGTATTTCTGTTTCTTCCAAACGTGGATAATTTCGACACCGAAAGATTGATAATT